TTTCCCTTGGCTCTGTCAGGGACCCCAACGATGAAGCTATTTTTTGACCAGCTAAAGTTATGAGAGCTGACTCTTTCTCTGAGTTCTAGCCATTCTGAAACTGTTAAAGTATTAAAATTATTCCAACTGGTCTAATTTTTTGGCTCCTTTACCTTGCCTTTTCAGTGATTCCCATTTGCTGATGAACATCAATAAACTCCATGAGCTGCCTTTGTAGCACGTTTTCTTTTCCTTCAATTTGCTTAATAAAATCATGCTGCAAAAGACGAGATACTGTCGGACGCTTCTCATAATCTTTAGTCAAGCACCTGTGCTGGCAGAAAAAGGGTATGATCACTGGGGGATCACTGTGAAGTTTTGAAATTGTTGTCAGTGGTTCATTCATACCTCCACAATAAATACATCCACCTTAATCACAACAGCTCTGTACTGAAAACTATTAAGAACTGATGAGTCCAAAAGTTAAATTACCACATTTAAAATTAAATATTCTCTAAATTAAATAAATGCCAAGTGTGTTAAAATGTTGTTATTTCATGTTTTAAACCTGGAGCCTCACCTGGAAGTCAAACTGGATTTACAAACTAAGTTTTTAAGGAAAAACATTAGTAGCAACAGATTTCCACAAAGAATACAAAGGTATTTTACACATGACATTTACACGTTCCATATTCAGCTATCGTGGTCCCAGTTGTTACTCACTTGTTAATGAAGTCATTGAATTCAGGTGACCACAGTTCAGGCTGCTGTAGCGTTGGAGGAGGATTCCTGCAAAGGTCAGTGTGATGATAAGTTAATAAGCTACTCCACAAAAACAATGTGTGAAAGCAGGCTGAATAATGAATTTTGGAAGGCCACTGAAAAAAGATATTGATTTCCATTAGTAAAACGAGCATGGGTAGATGATACAATGCCTCACTGGTTCTCCTACTTTACATAACTAACAAGGAGAAAAAGCACGGAGATGATTTACCAAGCATAGCTAAGAATCACTATATTTTTTCAGTCAAGTCAATAAAGGGAAATTACTTTAACAACCCATTAATCACTATTCACTTGTAATGGCAAGTTTCTTTTCAAGCCTGAAACAAAATACTTTCTTAAGAGAATTTTTTAAAATAAATTCTATATTCAGTTTTCCCAGAAGGACTGAATTAATCATCTTGTGGAACAAAGTGTCAGAAGGAATTAGCTCTTTATTAACTATTTCTCATTCATCGGGAGAGAATGAGAAGTCAAGTGAAGGACTAAATACAGACCTCTTGTAAATAAATACTACTACTTTATTTTCTGTTGAGTTAGAGCTGTTTATTCTAGGTGTTAATTTGGTTCGAATTGTTTTAACAGTCTTCTTACATTCAAGCAGAGGTGCTATTTTCACTGAAGTCATGAAGACAAAAGGCATTATCTATAGATGAGGTGACTTCTCTGTCTATTTTCAATCGATCATTGTAACTGCTTTTCTTTAACTGCTGCTTAACGTTTACTCTATCACTCTCAGGTTTTACTTAATGGTATTAAAGAGTATTGACCTTTTATTTGCTCCAGGGCAGAAAGGTGCACAGTATTTGTATGGGTATAAGTCAGGTGTTTTTTTGAAGACCTAGCTGAAATGACTGACGACAGCAGCTTCTCACTGCTTTTTCAATAGAAAGTAAAGGTGAGAAGAGCACTCATGCCCTACTTCAGTACCAACTCAGCAAGATTTCTTAAACTGGAAGGTAATTTAAACTAATTTGGGCAACTAGGCTGTAAAATACTTGAAGCTCTTACGTACACTATGTAGTCTCAACTGTTGTGGTACTGCTCCAGCTGTTAGGGCGAAATTCAGAAACTGCTCTGTGATCATCCCTTACAGACTATGAGATTGATATTCTTTGAAACACTGTAAGTGGCACTTTCGGTACTTTCACATCCAGCTTCAAAGAAAACAGGAAAGAAGTTGCTATTTGCACTGCTTGAGGACAGCAACATGGGAACTACCAGGAGCAGCACAAGCTAATGAAAGTGGTGGAACAATACCTTGCTTCAAAGGACATGAGATAACTCTTGAAGTCAGGTATGGGGCCTGTTCAGCACAGTGACACACTCAGACTATTTCTATCATAAGTGACTCTCTGTAACAGAGTACACCAGACTCAGCTAAGTCCAATGCTCACATATTTTGGACAGCAGTTCACTCAGGAGAAGGCCTTATGGCTTTTTCTCAGTGTAGCCAGAGTCAGCTCTGAACTTCCCCAAGTGTCCACACGGTTGAAGCAGAGCCTGCAAAAAACGCAGCTGGACAAAGTATTTTGGTCAACAGCTGGCTGAATATGAGCCAGCAGTGTGCCCAGGCAGCTAATAAAGCCAATGACATCCTGGCTTCTATGAGAAATTGTGTGGCCAGCAGGACTAGGGGGGTGATTGTCCCTCTATACTCAGCACTGGTGAGGCCACACCTTGAAGACTGTTTTTAGTTTTGGGCCCCTCACTACAAGAAGGACATTGAGGTGCTGGACAGTGTCCAAAAAAGGACAATGAAGCTGGTGAAAGGGCGAGAGAACAAATCCTATGAGCAATGGCTGAGGGAACTGGGGTTGTTTAGTCTGGAGAATAGAAAGCTCAGGGTAGACCTTGTTGCTCCCTGCAACTACCTGAAAGGAGGCTGTAGTGAGGTGGGGGTTGGTCTCTTCTCCCAGCTAATGAGTGATAGGACAAGGGGAAACAGCCTTAAGTGGTGCCAGGGGAGGTTTAAATAGGATGTAAGGAAAAATTTATTCACTGAAAGGGTTTTCAGGTACTGGAACAGGCTGCCCAGGGAAGTGGTTCAGTCACTAGACGTAGAGATACTTACAAGGTGTATAGATGTGGCACTAAAGGACATGGTTTCGTGGTGGACTTGGCAGTGCTGGGTATACAGTTGAATTTTATTATATTAAAGGCCTTTCCCAACCCAAACAATTCTATGATCCTATGATCTGTAACCTACTGCTAGTATAAATAATAGCAGAAACACCACTTACTTACACAGTCTAAGACTGGAGAAAGGAAAAAGTTCGGTCTAACCCAGCAAGAAATAAGCACGTCAAGATATTACCTTGGTATTTTGAAGAGTGCCCTCATAGGGTGCAAATCAGCAAGGGGTGGATCTCCATCTCCCAGCTCTATTGCAGTAATACCCAGTGACCATGCATCACATCTGGCATCATAGGAGCTATCTAGCTGCTGCTCACAGGCAATCACCTGTTGAAGTAAAAGACTAGGATAGTCACTGGATAGTCAAATGTCAAATTTAAGAGTACACTCACAGTTGGAGAAATCTCTTATAGGATGGATATAGTGGGTGAAATAAACAGACTTGCAAACATATAGCAAGCTAAAGCAGCCTGTAACTGGAAAAAAAGCAATGCTTAAAACTAGAGAAAGCAAGTGTCTGTGAACACCAGGTTCTCTGATGGATGTTTGCTGATCTGCCAAAAGGGTGCAAATCCTTGGCTTTTTCAGCTGAAGGTGGCAAACTGCATCAGATGGCTGAGGGAAGCAGAAGAAAACTCAGCAATCCTAAACCATTTCCTCTGGATTATTCCCAAAAAATAACAGAGCTACAGTGCTCTCTCTGTGAAGTGAAACAATCAGGGAAGTAGTTAAATTCACTGTCTCCTGCTGGGATTCAGCCAAATCAGCCTATTTCAAGATCAAGCTAAATTTCTCAGTAATGTGTTTGCCACTGGATTACAGCAAATTAATTCAATTTCATCTACATTTCAGCTCATCCACAATGCTGGACGAATCCAGAATTTTTAATTCCATTAACTACAGGTCTAAACCAATGTGTACCCTACTAGCTACATGGCTAGAGCGTAGTGTATAACAGAGTAGTTTCATGTGCTCTAAACAGGCGTATATGCATGAGTTTGTATGCACATAAACAATTCAATATTTTGTCATTAATAACAAAATTTTTTTCCTGCCTCAGCTTAGAACATCTTTATATGCTTCAACTTCAGGCTGGAAAAATCTCCAAAGACACACAGTACATCTTATTTCTTCATAATAACTATGGATTTACAGTATTAAAAACTTTCCAGGTACAGAAATCCAAAAATAAAAGCTCTAATGTAGCACAGTACCATCCTGGGCTCCTTCCATTCGTGGGGAGATGAGATACCTACACTTTCAGAGCTTGTATGGCAGGAAAGTATTGTTGGTAGTACACTCTCCTCTTTAACATTTAAAGGAACAAATTCAGCATCTTGGTCTCCGGCTCTTGACTTGTAATTTCAAAACTAAACCCCATTTTAACTTTATCTTTGCAAAAATCTAATAAAAAAGGTTAAGTCACTTTTTTAAAGGACATGGCTATCTCATTTGGTGAAAGGTCCAGTGGTCAGAAGGAAAGACAAAGAGCAGAAAAGCAGAAAGCAGCACATTGAATACCACTGACAAAATGTTTTGAAACATGAATCTAACCTCAGGAGCCATCCAGAACGGGGTGCCCACGGAGGTGTTCCGACGGAGACGAGTGCTGGTCAGCTGAGCAGACACACCTGGGAGAACGAAGGGAAGATACTATCAGAGCCACTGCTATTTCAGTCCAAGACAGCCCTTCTGAATGGTTCCATCCTCATTTTGTCATGCTCCAGCTTCCTCTGCAGGCAAATCTCAAATACATCGTTCCCATTCTCTGAAAAGAGAGGCCCAGTCCTCAAAGACACTCAGGACTTCAGCTGAGGTTCTCCACATCCTTTGTTTCCAGCAACTTCAGCAGGACCAGGATTAGTTCCAAACGTGCATTTCATTAGTAATCCGACTCCATATATTTTGACTGGCTAATTACAGTATTTCTATATCCTGATTTAGGAGAGCACTTCTGGGGGGGTGGGGTGAGGAGAAGTACTGAACCTTCCACAGATTCTTTTTTCTTTTAATACTCAGTACTGACACCAGACCTCTGTTTCATTATTTACATATTCAGGTTGAACACTACAGAAGATACTTATCGTCTTCTCTTAGCTGCTCTGCCATAAAAAAGAAACAATAAAACTATGAAACCTCAAAAATTCTTACAAAAACAGAAGTCTCTCCATGCTCAAAGCACATTCTCAAAGCAACACCAAATGCCTGCAAATCAGCTTTGTAACAGGAGCTGTAGTTTAAGGAATTAACTATTTCAGGCTAAGGGCTTGAAAGGGAACTCTGAAGTCTGAAGATTTCTTGCAGTTTTAAATTAAAAGACATTGAAACATTAGGAATTTGAGCGAGCTGCAGCACACTTCTGACCAGCTTTCAACCAATTTCCTGCCTTACAGAATGAGGGTGTATTAGCTGGAAACATCTAGTGTATGCAAGTGAAAGAGTGCAACATGTGGAGAAAACCTCAGCTAAGTATGTGCTTGAACTCCCATGGATTTATGAGCCACAGCCAAGTGTGAGGTCCACCAGAGGCATATTCTGAAGTGCTCGTATCAAGGATGGCAAGAAAGGTGCTATGTTTTACTCCTTCCAACCTCCTGCTGATTGACACTGAAGCTCATTTATTTTGCCTTCACACATACACCTTCTTTCAGTTGAAAAAAAAAAAAAAGTGAACAGACTAAGTTTCACTCTGTGAGTGCCACTTCATTATTCTGGAATATATGATGCTCCAGTGATCACCACTGGTCAGTTTCAAATCTGTATTGTCTGGTTTGAATGCACACGACCTTACCTTCCTGAAAACTTTGCAGATCATTCATAATTCAGATTAACTGTCTGGTGGAAATACTAACTGAATCTCTGTCTGTTTGATTCTTGGGTATTTCAATGGAGGTCAAGAAACCATAGAAAGCTTGATCTTTTTGTGCTCTAAAAGCTAAGTGTTCAGCTCTGATTCACAAAGTGTCTACATGGCATTCAGGTATCACAGAAATGCATAAAACTGCAGAAATTAAGGCAAGAAAGACCCTGTCTGAGACATGCGACGACTGTTTTTGTGGCTGCCTCCCTCTAGTCTACACCAGGTTCCAGTCTCTCTCTCTGCCAGTGCCTGCAGAAAGTTCAATACAGTGTTTACAGCACCACAGAAAGCAGGACAATGCAAGGCTTAGCACAAAGTCCATCAATCCTTCTTGGTCTCAGCTAAGCAGGGGTTGTTTTTGCTACCTCAAGGAGTTGTCTGAGGTCCAGCTTCCGGCTCACACAGGGTTGTTCTGAGCCCTCAGCAAAACACAATCTTCTGACAGCAAGGAGTAAGCACACATCCCCACTGGTCTGCCACATTGCAGTGATGCAAACAGACATCATTGAGTGATTCCCTGTTTTGGAGGGGGAGAAGGCTACTGTCCCCTCTTCCTCTCTATGTGTTGTTGGAGTCCCTTGTGCTAAGCTCTTTTTTGTAGCCTTGGAAGAGGAAATGGGATTCAGAACTGTAGGCAAAGAAAGGCATTAACTAAATCTTTATTATTCCAGCATCCGATTTTATAAATAATCATAACTTTCTGAAGAGATAAGGAACAAAATATAAAAGGAACATTAATATGTACAATCTTCTCTATCTATGCACTGTTGTTTTTTTCCTCTTTGAACTGTAATTATTAAATAAACTGAAGGATTTTTCCTCCTCCTCCTTTTTTTTATATCAGTAAAAAGCTGATTTAATTTGAATTGTTCACCACCACTTTCTTTAGGCTCTTGGGGTTTTTTGTGTGCTTTTTGTTTGTTTGTTTTTTTATCTTTTTGCTCTTAGCAGTAAAGTGGCATTTCAGATTACGAAGTGTAAGTCTTATGACAAATGGTATTTCCTTGGGCTTTTTCTGTGTCTAGAGGAAAGATGATGTAATTTCACATTTCTTCCAGCATTTCAATGACCAGTCAAGCATATAGCTGGCTGACTTTTTTTCACTTGTTTATTTTCTAACCAAAGCATCTTGCTCCTCCTTTCCTTCCCCTTTACTACTGCTTTGTTGCAAAATATTATCCTAAAATCTAAAAATAAATACACAGAAATTGTAACTCTTATGAAGTATAGGAGCTTAATAAATAAGTGCATTAACAGTAGCAATGCACACCATACCTGAAAGAAAATATTGTGCATATAGTTGGAAAAAGGTTGGTGGGATTTTTGTTTTTGTTTTGTTTGTTTTCTTTTTATTTTTTTCCAGGTGTTAAGTTTACTAACAAATCCTGGAAATTAGCAGAATTGCACCATTAGCACTATTCAAGTTTTTTGTTGCAAAAACTGGCATGTTGGCATAACACTGAAAGGAAAGCCACCTACTTATGACCTTAGCACTCGACAAAAGAGAAACAGTGCAGAAATGTGCTGCTTACTCTTAGGAAAGACTTGTTTCATAGTAGCACCCAATCTGAGCAGGCAGTGTTCTGATCTAAACTGGGAGGCTGTATGGCATCATTTTATGATTATGTCCTGTGACAGAAGTATGACTCTTGTACTGGTTGATGCTAACGGGGGAGTGGCAAGTCCTAGCAAATTCTATTGGATGCACATTCAAACACAGCAGGGACACTGCACTCCCACCAGGCTAGCCACTCTAATGAGGAAAACATGGACCCTATCCCAAAGGAATTACCACACTGCCTCTGGCTACCTCTTCCCTAACCCTTCTTCATTTGTGCCTTCACTGTCCACTTCCCTACCAAAGCATCCTCTTTGTGACCTTCTTTGGATTAAGAACATGCATTTAGATAATTCCTCAAGCTAGTCTCTGAACCAAAAACTGTTCACAGTGTGAACCTTGCAGATCTAAACAGGATGAAATGCTTTGAATTGTTTCCCAACATTTTTTCAATCTCCTAAAGAAACAGATGTCAAACAGCAGCAGCATCTTACACTGCATTCCCCTTAAACCCACTGACAGATATGTTTTGGCATTCC